TATATATATTCCAGTTCCTCTAATGAGTCTAAAGCATACAATAATTAAAATACAGTCATTGTGAAAAGCTTAGAGGCTGGGGTTATTGGTAGAACTGATGTTTAGTATACCCTAGGTCTTGGGTTCAATCCTCAACCCACTCCACCAAAAACTCAAAGTAGTATTTTGCTGGGGATATTGCTCAGTGATAGAGTGCTCACCTGACCAACTATGGGCAAAGCCCTCAGTTCATGCCCAGGACCATAAAAAATTTGAAGTCAAATTTCTAGATGCAGTTACACATTTTTTGTTGTTGTTTAAATGCTAAAAAAAAAAGAAGAAATTCCTGGAAATCTTTTTCAACATATTATTTATAGCTAGTCTTACTAAAAATGTAAGAGATACGGCACACACACACACACACACACAAGGATTAGTAATCAATAAATTAAACATTTTATATGAAAATATGACTTAGGACCTGAAATAGAAAATGCTTAGAATTAATATAACTACTGGAAAATCATCATATTTACCTGCAAGTGGTGGGCCAATAGTCATGGGGATAGACATGAGTCCAAGCAGAAATCCAATTGCTTGAGAAACATCCTGGGCACCAACCAATGCAAAGGCAATGGGGGCCATGATAGAAATGAAGCACCCATCAAAGAGACCCATGATGAGACAGACAGCAACGAGGGCCCCAAAGACCCTGCACAGGGGAATCATCATGGACATCAGACCAATGAAGAAGAACGACAGCACCTAGGACAGACGAGCACACGTCAACTTTGCTTCAGGAAAACTGACTTCTAAGCAATGCCCGCTTATATTCCCCTTCCCCTTAATTTTATATAGATAGCCAACTCCTTTGAAAAATTCCTTTTCTTTATATTTTCATTAAAAGACAAGAAAAAGCAATTATTTATATATTTACTTTCCTTCCTAGCCTGCAAACTCTTTGACATCAGGCCTGTAAAAGTCTTTGGATTAGATGTCAGATTCATTCATTAACATTTCTTTTTTAAAAACCTTTAAAATAATTATATTATTTTAATTAAATATGTCTATTGGCAAATCTTATAGACATATTTAAGCACCCAAGATATAAGATCCAGAATATTAATTTTGAACCACTGAAAATTTTAATCTTATAGTTAGTTAATAAACTCAAATACCTAATTTTACCTACTGCTTGGTAGATACTGTGCTATGTGATAGAAATTTCAGTGATAGACTTGATTTCTCCCCTGGGGTTATAGAGAAGAAACATTTAAGTAAATATAAGTGCAGATGAAATGCTGTAGATGTTGCCATAGTTTTATCCAAAGTATAGTAGTTACAATAAACAATTCAATAACTAGACAAGAGAAGCAATTAAATAACTAGAAAAGCAATTAAAACTGCCTTTTTATTCAACAATTGGCAAAAGTTGTAAAAAGTATCAGGTTTTCTTAAATGTATATGCATAGAATAGCAATTGCATTTTATTTAGTTTTTACTAAGTTCCAGCCATTATTCTAATCACTTGGATTATAACACTAGCAGGTCTCAAAAAAAAAAAAAAAAATTGTCACCCCCATTTTACAGATGAAGATACTGCTGCTGGGAAGACAGTCAATATATCCACAGTGCACCAGACAGGGCCAGCCTGGAGTCCATGGTCCACATGAGCAGTGGCAGGGAACAGAAAGAACTGTTGCAAGAAAGCACCCCCCAGCCCCGCCCAAAGACACTGAGGCTTGGGAGAAAGGGCGAGGCCAGCTAAAGCAGCTGTATGGATCACAGCTGCATCTCTGTTTTCCCTAGGCCCGACCGTGGGACACCAAGCTTGAAAAATAAAGCTAGGTCCATCATACTAACATTTCCAATAAGATCTCAGTATCCTGACTTTATTTTCTAATAAAATATCCTTCTCTTCCACCATACTCTGTGAAAACACAGCTTCTCAGCAGTGAGAAGTTAATGGGCTTATTAATAACCTAGGACATTGGAAGGAACCCGGCTCAGAGATGAGAGCAGGTTCTACCTCCTTGTGACCTTAAGCAAGCAGAAAGACTGAGATGTTTCCATGTATTGAGACAAAAAGAGATCTGAAGAGAAAAGACAGGCAATCAATTGAATTTAACAAGCACGTAAAGACAAAAGGAGTTATAGTTATTGAATCCTAATATTCTTATCTAGACATACATTTTATTCTCTCTATAAATTTAAAGAGATAAATATGGAAAATCTTAGAAACATGTCTATAATCAAACTCCAGAGAATCCAGAATAAAATTTTACAATACCACAGAACCAGACTCAATGGATGTAACTGGGAAAACTAAAGGCCAAGCATTTCCAATGATGTTACTGAGATTATGCTATTAACTTTAAAAGAAAAAAATATTTTTTCCTTTTAATTCTTTTCCTACTGTGTCTACTGTTGCTTTCAGGATGACAGAAACAACCCTGTGGAATTTTGTACTTGGTCATGGTGAAGGTCTCATATGTAGAACTTGGCACAGAGTCCATTTTGCTTCATAAATGTTTTTATGGAACAAGACAGCCAAGAACTTTACTTTTGGTAGCCTCTTAATTTGTCCAATCCATTTTTAGCCCCTAGAACATTTTGTTTTTTGTTAGTTTTGCAAAAAATCATTCATTTGGGATTTTCAAATACGTTTTGGATATACTATTCTTAATTCTTTACCCTTTCTCAATTTAAGCTACATTAATTTATATGTTTAATAAGTGACCTTGTCATTTAAACGTACATTTTTCAGAATTAAGTTTAATAGAAAGCATATATTGGGTAAGCATTTCTCCAAACACTGATTGGTTTGCTTTATTTGTAGCTATAGCGGTGAGAAAAGGTGCTCCTTTGCAGCAGCCATTGCTGCCCAACATGCAGCCACCCCAGTGAGAAAGCCTGGTGGTGAAGACTGAACACCTCTGCTGTGTGTGCAGGACACCTGGTCACAAGGGACACATGCCAAGGCTTAACAAGCTGTCCATTCAGGAGGCTCATCCTTCTTTATCACTTCACAAAATAAATATTGATTAATAAATCAATTGATCTGTAGCTACTGGGACCCAGGCTGATGAGCCATAAACTTGGCATTACATGTAACCCTCACTCTAGCACAATAGCTCGGGTTAGACTCAAATAAGAGACTCAAAGATCTGTAATTCTCTTCTAGGCTCTGGCACTGACATTTAGTAACAATATAGCAACAGTTTACATTTTTACATTGCTTTTGTTTTCTTAAAACCATCCAAGGGAATATTTTCTATCATAATATCAAAGGCTCTAGAACAGTGATAGCAAATCTTTTCGAGCTTTCAATGACACAAACAGCCAGATGTGGTATGTGTGCCATAGGTTTGCTACTCCAGAATGACCTCTCTATGAGTTGATTAACGTATCAAAGAACTTTTTTCTCTCATACATTTTTCAATCTCTATTATGGAGAGCATTATTTAAGAAATTTCAGTTTACATTTTCCTCAGGAATCTAAGTATAGCTCAGAGGGAAACATGAGCCACACCTGAGTAAGCAGAAGGCATTTCTGGAGATAGAACTGGGCAGAGTCAGATTCAAGTGTTGTTCCTAGTATGTTGATTCAATATCAATTTTCCAGACTTTCAGAGCCTCGAGGCAGGTACCCCGGCAGAAAGTGGCCAGCAGCAGCCCTGCCTGCCCCTCGCAGCCCAAGGGGAAATGTTCAGGCAGCTGCTGCTGCTGAAACGTGCGGAGGCCACAGCACTTCCATGCTGTTGTGATCACAGGGAGTTGGCTGGACCTTCTCCACATGGACACGTGAGTACCTCGGGTTCTACCAGGAGCGGAACTGGCACTACAACTCTGGTGCCAGAGTCTAGATGAGACTGTGAGGCCCTCCTGTACTGAGGCTGGGCCTAGTTAAGCATTTGGATACTACTGTAGAAGTTGCTTACATTAGGTAAAGTCTGTACTCTCATACCAAAGTACAGACTTAGGAACACGCTAAAATGGAAGGGAATTCACAGTTAGGCAGCAGTAACCAGCTTACCTGAAGTGGAAGGGGACGTTTACACAGGAAGATGGCTATAGAAGCCCCTGGTTTTTCTAAATGACAAGTGTAATGTAACTTTTGAATATATTCTTTTGAAGTTTCAAACCTTATAGAAATGTACATAGAGATGTGTGAAAGGCTTCCTTCACCCCACTCCCAAACCATGCTCTCTCGTCCCTTCAGCAATGACCCCCGGAGAGCATGGTCTGCGCCCCCCCACTGTTGCTAAGCACCCACGTATGCTGCCTGGGGCTGTATGCTTCACACGGGTGGGTGTGGCCTCCACATTTCAGTATCTCCATGTCATAGAACAATGACACAATAGAAGTGATCTAAGCCCCAAGTTTTCAATTCTTTCATAAAGTATAACCTTCAAGTCTTTCAAAAACTCACTCTTCTAAAACACCTAACACTAAAGACACAAACAAATCTATAGTAATTTAATAGGGACCAGGAAGACAGGCCTGTGATATTAAAAAAGGTGGTCAGATAGCAGTGCACAGGCAAACCTTCCTCTCCCAAGGAAGGATACACTCCAGCAGCTTCACAAGGTTTTCTGCGACCACAATCGGCCCATGTAATGCAATTCAGTTGTCACTGTGCCAACAGCAGTGGACTTTGCTGAGCCTTTTGAATTATTAGGCTGAAATCAGGGAACAGCGCTCTTTGATGGAAATTTAAATTTTGAACTCTTAAACAGAAAGCATTAGTTGTCTACAAGGAAAAACTTATTTGGGGTAACAAGGTCTCCTTTCTTGAGAATTGTTCCAAATCAGAATGCACCTTCAGTATTTAACATAATTTTTTGTCTTAACCATCCAGTAGAAAGGTGAAAAAAAAAAAACCAACAAGGTATAAGGGGTGAAGCCATGTTGGTATGCTGGGCTGTAAAGGGCCCAGGTCAACAATTTCTGACATTGCCAGTCCTGTGGATGACTCACTCCTAGTAAGGACTACTGGACTATATTGGAATATTTTGCTGAATTCACACACCTACAATATTTAAATGACAATGGAATACCCATCTCTGACAAAAGTAAACAAAAAAGGGGATAGAAATGAATGACATTTTGTATCTATATATACAAAACAGTTAGGATCGATATATAGCTACTTTCTCTTAATTCCATGAGAAGAAAGATTTGTACTAATAGTGTTTGGACAGGATATCATGTCAGTATCTTGTACTAAGAAGATAACAACATGCAATGTATTAATTATTGAAACTCTCCTACTAATCAGTTTTGAAACTGTCTCATTGCTATTTGTTTCTCAATAAAATTATTAAAAACATAAATAAAAAATTAAAAAATAACATAATTTTAAATGATAGTGCCACATGTGGCAGCACATGGCTGCAAATAACACTACTCAGGAGGCAGAAGAACCCCAAGTATGAATCAAGCTTGGGCAACATAGTAAATTCAAGGCTGGGTTGGACTATATTTTGAGACCATGTCTCAATCAACCAATCAGTCATTCAATCAAAGCAAGGAATTATGAACCAGCAACTTCGGGCATACTGCTTTATGTAAGCTGTTGCCAACAATCCTCACGACAGCCCCTCTGCTGGTAGGACAGGGTGAATGAGTGTCTTACTTCAGAGCTGTGCTCTTCTGTTCTGGGGCCTCTCCAAGCCAGTATGACTGCTCCCTGAAACTGGACCATGTGGGAGGGCTACAAAGTGTGTCTGTGTTGATGACATTCTAGGTCTGGCTGCAACTCA